CAGTTCTACATGAAGAAGGTCAAGTTCACCCAGCAGACCTACCACGACAGGCTCACCCAGATCCTCGAAGATTTCCCCGTGCTGGATGTACGATTTTTCATCTTTCTATCATTCTTCTCTCCGCTCCATCTCCATCCGTGGATACCGAGCTAGCCCCCTTCAAAAGCTTGATACTAATTTAGTGCTTTCTTCTCTGTACGCCGTAGGACATCCACCCGTTCTACGCTGATTTGATCAACGTCCTGTACGACAGGGACCACTACAAGCTCGCGCTTGGTCAGCTTAACATCGCCCGTCATCTCATCGACAACTTGTCGAAGGACTATGTCCGCCTCCTGAAGTTCGGTGACTCTCTGTACCGATGCAAGCAGCTCAAGAGGGCCGCCCTCGGAAGGTGCTGCACAAACGCCGTCAATTTCAATCTTGAAATTTACGAAATCATCATGGGCCCAATTCTAAGCGTCGACTCTCTACGTGTAGAATGTGTACCCTCATGAAGAAGCAGGGTCCCTCTCTGGCCTACCTCGAGCAGGTGAGGCAGCATTTGGCCCGTTTGCCCTCCATCGACCCCAACACCAGGTAAAACCGCAAAAACAAAAAAAAACTGTCCTCCCATTTTGCATCTTTCTAACTTGAGTACTCCTCTTCCTTCAGGTCCATGATTCTCTGCGGCTATCCCAACGTGGGTAAGTCGTCCTTCATGAACAAGCTCACTCGCGCCGACGTCGACGTGCAGCCCTACGCCTTCACCACCAAGTCGCTCTTCGTGGGTCACACCGACCACGAGTACATGCGCTTCCAGGTGCGTTTCGAACTTTTGACTAACCAATATTTTCAGTATTTTACAACAAAAATAAGAATAGAAATATAAATATGAATTACAATGCGACGTCTCACGCTCGGTGGTCCGTTGCGCAACAGGTCCTGGATACGCCCGGTATCTTGGATCATCCCCTCGAGGAGAGGAACACCATTGAAATGCTTTCGATCACGGCTCTGGCGCACTTGAGGGCGGCCATCATCTTCGTCATCGATATCTCGGAGCAGTGCAGCTACTCCATCGAGGACCAGGTCAAGCTCTTCAACTCCATCAAGCCCCTCTTCACCAACAAGCCCCTCGTCGTGGCCCTCAACAAGATCGACGTCATCACCCTCGACAACCTGCGCGAGGACGCCAAGGCCCTTCTCCGCGATCTCGAGACCCAGAACAACGTCTACCTCATCCCCATGTCGACCCTCACCGAGGAGGGCGTCATGAAGGTCAAGGAATTCGTACGTGCACCCCACTACGGCTACCAGAATGCGAAGCGCGTTTGTGTCGACACCGCGCCCATTTCGCTAATCGAATTCGTGCGACACTGTTGCAACGCGCTTGCACCGTTTACAGGCTTGCCAAAAG